TGTGTGTGTGTGTGTGTGTGTGTGTGTGTGTGTGTGTGTGTGTGTGTGTGTGTGTGTGTGTGTGTGTGTACTCTCGACAGGAACACGTTGAACTGTGTTGGGAAAAAATGCTTTAAACTATATGAATCCACCTCAATCAATTAATTACCACAATAAACAATCAGCAACACACACACACAAAAGACGGGAGGACAGCAGCTGTGCCCACCCTCCCCCAGGAAGTAAACACAGTGACAACAGCTGATGGCAATAACACAGAGTTGGACGCCGGCTGAGGTAAATATACTGAGTTAACTTGGGTACGGTAAGACAATACCACACGAAGACAATACCAGAGTTAAGACAATACCAGGGATAAGACAATACCGGAGTTAAGACAATACCAGGGATAAGACAATACCGGAGTTAAGACAATACTAGAGTTAAGACAATACCAGGGGTAAGATAATGACTTCCCACCACGTTACCAAAACAATGTCTGAACTTGCTGGAGACCAAACAATATTAAGCATTTCAAAACAACAAGTAAATAAAAACAATAAATCAAGACAATACTATTAGAGTGACTCAGACGATACCTTCCTCAGTAAGCTATCGCCAACACAACCCTCTTCCTCCCCACAACAACAACAACAACATAATAATAATAGTAATAATAATAATAATAATAATAATAATAATAATAATAATAATAATAATAACAATAAAATCCACGCCTTGGTAACCCTACATAAAAAAAATAGTACACACCAGTCCTCACCAAGACAATAAACACATCAGTCAGGTCAGTATGGGAGGAAAATATACAATGATTCCCACCCTTTAAGGTCAATATAGGATATAATACGACAATAATTCTCACCCTTAAGTTATCAGTCATGTCAGTATGGGAGGCAGCAATGATTCCTACCTCAAAGACGCTCAACTTGGTGACATTAGCAGTATGGAAGAAGCTGGCAATGATAAACCAGAGAGACAAATTTGGTTGAGTCGAGGTCAATTGGTGCGGTGTTTGGGCTCAGGTTAGGTGTGCATATATTTGAATAACTGGCAACTGCATTAACCCCTCCTCCTCCTCCCCCTCTTCCTCTCTCCTCCCCTCCTCTTAACCCCCCCTCCTCCTCCCCACGCGTACAGAGCTGTGACCTGGAGTTAGTGTCACCGCCAGGGCCAGAAGGATGCCATAATAAATGCCTAGTGTGACCTGTAAGTGTGTTTTAATGCCTAGTGTGAAGGGGAAGAGTGTATATGGGTGTGATTATGATTGACACACACACACACACACACACACACACACACACACACACACACACACACACACACATCTCACTTCCCTCATCCTTTAGTTAATTTCTCCTTCCCTCAGTGACGGTGTGAGAACGCATCTAATTAGTTCAATTATTACACCACACAAGAGAGACAGGTCCAATTTGTCGTCGAGATTACAAAGGAAACTCGACACTAACTAGATGTGTTTTGTTATATCCTGTAGCGAGAAGAGGGGTTTAAGTTACGACTCTCTGACCTGACCTGACCTAACCTGACCTGACCTGACCTGACCTGACCTAACCTAACGAGTGATGAGACAAAGAGATGAGAAGAGACGTGAGGCAGGACGCTCCAAGGGCCTTCACCACCCGCCGGGGACAGTCAGGGGTTAAAGGCGCCATACGCAGACCCGGAGAGATGCATCCTAGAAATCAATGAGAAATGAGTATTAATTACGGGTTATTGAACGAGTCATGTTTGTGTTGTGTTGTGTTGGATAACATACAGATGATAGTATTCCCCCAGTACTGGCAGGTTACTGTTGACAAGCTAACATACCCCAGGGAATAAAGACACGGGTAGTACGTGTTGTTATGTAGGAGTGTGCCATGACAGTCTTGGAGGATCGTCATATGGCAACAATGCTGTATTAGGTGAGTGTCATGCAGATGTGGATTAGGTGGGTGAGTCTGTCATGCGGTTGTGGATTAGGTGGGTGAGTGTCATGCGGTTGTGTGGATTAGGTGGGCAGGTCTGTCATGCGGTTGCGGTTGTGGATTAGGTGGGTGAGTCTGTCATGCGGTTGTGGATTAGGTGGGTGAGTCTGTCATGCGGTTTGTGGATTAGGTGGGCGAGTCTGTCAAGCGGTTGTGGATTAGGTGGGTGAGTCTGTCAAGCGGTTGTGGATTAGGTGGGTGAGTCTGTCAAGCGGTTGTGGATTAGGTGGGTGAGTCTGTCATGCGGTTGTGGATTAGGTGGGTGAGTCTGTCATGTGGTTGTGGATTAGGTGGGTGAGTCTGTCATGTGGTTGTGGATTAGGTGGGTGAGTCTGTCATGCGGTTGTGGATTAGGTGGGTGAGTCTGTCATGCGTTTATTAGTTTCATGGACTAGTCTGTCATGCGATGTCAGGATATTCATAAACAGTGTCAAGCGCCATTAAAACGCAGACAAAAATGGGGTTACTGGCACACTGGCGAGGAACACACGTACTGGGGAATGGTGGCTGCCTCTCACACTCTGCAGGGAAAGTTTAAGAGTTTTCCAAGACCGCAAGACCAGGTTATTATACCATGGTGTCAACGGGATACTCCTCAGCACAACGTGGAGTTTTTCTTTCTGTAAGGGAGAAGTGAGCTGGAGTAAGATGTCTTGTTCCGTATGTTGGTTAATTATTTTATTCCTCGTTAAGATGGCGGATGTGATTCTTTCATTGCTAGTATTCTTCTGTAGTGTTCATCAAAATTTATCCTCTTCCTCTCTTTATTTTCTTGTTTCAGTTCCTGTATGAGGGAGAAAAAGTTGCTCTTGATCTGAGAGTTAACACGAGCATTGGGTTGAGCGGCTGCGATCATACGTGTAATCTTGATGCTCGTGATATCTTAAATAGGGTGGTGAAGATATAATAGTATCCCCCCCTCCCCTCTGTTCACCCTTCTCTCTCTATAACCCGAACCTCAATAGTCTTCGTTCAGTAACTTGAGAAGGCTGGTATGAATCACAAATACACTTGTTGTGGTACTTCATGTGTTTACGATAATTGTACTCGTATACAGTATGTCCGCTCATGGCTAAGATGCGACCGAATGTTTTCTCTCGGTCAGTTTCAAGTGGGATTATAAGGAGCTGATTCTATAACATCTGTATCTTCACAAATAAATAATGGTAAATAATATCATGAATTAAACCAACAGAACTATGTCGTATTCAGCGTAGAACTTTAACGAATTTTGTTGGTTTATAAAGCAAGTGGAAGGTGGTTATAATAATAATGCCTGTTGATAATTAAGAAGTGTAAAATTAATTTAAACTTCTCAATTCTCGACAAATATAAAACTTAACGATTGTGTTGCTTCACATGGATGACCACACCATAATAACTTGGACCGGGGAGCGGGGGAGGGGGGCGCCTTCCTCCCGACCGTCTCTCCCGACCAAAACAAAGAGGAGTTACTTTTAATGCATCATCATTCTACCAGGTGGAGAATTTTGGCTGATCAATTACGTCTAGAGGACAGCAAACTTATTAGAAGAGATAATATAACGAAGCACATCTTGAGAAAACGAGAGAAAATGGTGATCAGAGACATTAATAGAAAATGTACAAAGAGTATAAAGCAAGGGGAAACTATGTTATATTCGTATCAATCAACCTCTTTACCATTTCAACGTAAAACTCAGACTTTCCACTTTATATCTTCACTAATCAGCCATATTAAGTTAATTAAATAATAGTTACAAAGTTCTACAATAGCATACTTCATAAAAAAAAATCATATCAGTGTAGCATAGTTACCCATGACTTATATTATGCCAGTGTTACGTTTTCTCTGACAGTCCAGGCGGCGTCTGCTTTGAGTCACCTGTACCGTAAACTCGCCCTCGGCCCCATCTCTTACACCCAACCCTCAGATGACAGACTGGTGGTGGATTTAAGATAACGTGTACGTCAAGACTCCCTGGGTCCTCCTGAGAGCGTAATACAAGAGTGGTTTTCTATCTTTGGCTGACGAGTCGACCATGATACAACTCTTACCGTCCCTTGCAGTCTTACCATTCAGGCCCTTGTTATCGTTTACTATTTCCAGGTCCTTGATATCGTTTACTATTTCCAGGTCCTTGATGTCGTTTTCTATTTCCAGGTCCTTGTTATTGTTTACTATTTCCAGGTCCTTGATGTCGTTTTCTATTTCCAGGTCCTTGATATTATTTACTATTTCCAGGTCCTTGATATCGTTTACTATTTTCAGGCCCTTGTTATCGTTTACTATTTCCAGGTCCTTGATATCGTTTTCTATTTCCAGGTCCTTGATATCGTTTACTATTTCCAGGTCTTTGTTATCGTTTACTATTTTCAGGTCCTTGTTATTGTTTACTATTTCCAGGTCCTTGTTATTGTTTACTATTTCCAGGTCCTTGATATCGTTTACTATTTCCAGGTCCTTGATATCGTTTACTATTTCCAGGTCCTTGATATCGTTTACTATTTCCAGGTCCTTGATATTGTTACTATTTCCAGGTCCTTGATATCGTTTACTATTTCCAGGTCCTTGATATCGTTTACTATTTCCAGGTCCTTGATATCGTTTACTATTTCCAGGTCCTTGATATCGTTTACTATTTCCAGGTCCTTGATATTGTTTACTATTTCCAGGTTCACGATAACAGAAGATTATAAGGAGGGAGATATTTTACTTTAGTGTTATACTGATCAAAGTTCATATATGTTATAGAAGGTAAGATTATTGAATGTTTTTGCCAGTTATCTTGCTATATCCTGCTTTTGTTATCGTGTTATAGGCTGGTTTTGTTATCTTGTTATATCCTGCTTTTATCTTGCTATATCCAGATTTGTTACCTTGCTATATTCAATTATGTTATCTTGGTTTATAGCGATTACTGTGGAAGGGACAGAAGGAGAGAATGGGACGGGGTAAAAGAGGGAGCCACCATTCCTCAGTACAAGATTGACCTCACCTGTGTCACTCTTCCCTCAAACTGGTCAGGTCCTCACCTCTGCCCATGATGGTAAGTTGACTCCCCTCGCTGGCCAGGTCGCACACACCTGTAGAAGAAGAGGAACGAAGGTCAGAGGGATTAACAAGGTCACAGAGATTAACTTAGGGATTATACGTTACTTGATGAAATTATTAAAAAAAATTATATATATATATTTTGACACCAATTAACTTATTAAAATACACTCATTAGAATAGTTTTGGTTAGGTTAGGTTAGGTTAGGTTAGGTTAGAGAAGGGAGCTGGGTAGATAGGGAGGTAGGGTAGGTAGAAGGGAAGGTGGGGTAGGTAGGGGTGGAGTTGGGGAGGTAGGTGAGGTGAGGTGGGTAGGTAGGAGGTGAGGTGGGATAAGTAGGAGGCAAGGTGGGGTAGGTAGGGAGGTGGGTG